AGCTTTTAGACTTTCTTAAAGGTGCCTCCTAAGTCATGTGGCCCCAAATAACTAAACACTTGCTTCATATTTGGTGTTGAGCTCAATATTTTGCATACCAGCCTTGTTCCCCTCTTGAATTTGAGGCTGGTTTTTGTTTTCTTTAACTCTTGGGAGGCCGTGTGAAGCTGACCCCCAGCCGCCAGCCCAGTGGGCCGGGAGGGGCCCAAGGGGAATGTTTTGCCAGCAGCCTTAAAGCAAAAGGGGCTCAGCCAGGAGCTTGCTTGGACTGGGGAACAGCCACCATCATGGCTGAGCCCTGAGCGAGGGGAGCAGACTGGGACAATGACTGTCCTTGTGGAACTCTCCCCTTGGCCTTTTGGGAGTGGGGCTTTTTTCCTGCCTGGGAGAGGAGCAGCTTTGCTTTGTTTCCAATCCACTGCCAGACACTTTTGGAAGCGGAGGGACTCAGCTCTGCTTTGTGCTGCTTCTGGAGGAGTGACATGGGACCCACCTTTACCTCCAGCTCCCCGTCCACACACAGATGTGCTGTTCCTGACTCCAGGGAGGAGGAAAAACTTCATTCCTGCTGGCCCTGCCAAGCTGTTGTGGCTTGGGAGCAATGAGCTGACTCGCCTTGCACGTGCCTTATCAACTGAATTGTTTTATAGGGTTTCATGATTCCTGTCCAGCCAAACCCACTGTTTGCCACAGACCATCCATTACAGCATTGCCTGACCTGTGAAACCATTGCCACCAGGAGTTATGTGTTAAAAAAAGATATCTAAAAGAGTCTTGAGAGGGTTCTGAGACTGCAAACCCATTCTTGCCTTTTGCAGGGCTTTTTTACCCCCTTAAAATGAAGAGCAGTGGGATGTGAGTGCCTGACAATCAATCTTTTTATATAAAGTAATGGTAGGTAGTATTTGCTGTGCCTCTGGGGGCCTGTCTCTGCTCAACTTACCCCTTCCCTTCCCCTGCTGCAGTTAAAACCAGCAGCTGTGATAACAGCAGCTTGAAGATTGTTGTTGATCCAAGAAATATCGACTGTGGGATGCCTTGTAGGGCTTTCTGCAAAGAGCAGTCAAGTGATCAGCATCTTTTCCCAAGAAACAAGCATTTATTTGTTCATGTCATTCCCTAGTTTTTGTAGGGGTTAGCACATAGCTCTGGCTGTTCAGAATCCCATCCTGCTCATGGATGGTATGGGAAGAGGGAGGGGAAACCGTGCCCTGTAATGCAGGATTCAGTACAGGAGACGTGACTGCCTTGAGGAAGAGTTCAAAAATACAGGCTGCTTTTGGGATGTCTTAAGCTCTCCAACGTGTGAGAACATCCAGACACCCAAGTCTAGCAGCACATCTGGTGCAAGCTGGCTGGTCTCTGCAGGAGTCTGTGGAGCTGCAGTTTCACCCATGCTCATCTTGTCCAGGGATCCTGAAGCTGGGAGCAAGGGAGCAGAACACCTGTGGCTTTGACTATGACCCATGGAGCAGCTTTGTATGAGGACCTGGAAGCTGCAGAAGTTTAAGTAGTGCAATAAAATTATCACTGGGTGAAAGGGTGGATTTGGCATTTTTTTGGAATGGGAGTTTTTGGTGACAAGATGGAGGCACTTGGGTGTGTCCAGCCTTTCT